TATTTTAATTATTTACTCTTAATAAAGTGTCAGAAATTTTTGTAATATTTCTCACTCTTTCCCAAATCTTTTTAAAATAATTCAAAGGTGAAATTTATTTTGATTTCTCGTCAAACACAATGACTTGTTTTCCGTGTTATGATATTTATGTTTCAAGGCTATTAATTTACGTTTTGCTGAGTGGCTAATTTTTATATATTCACATTGTTGATGAAATTTGATACTGACTGATATAATGAACTCTTGGTGTCTGTTATAAACTACAATATTTATTTTTTTAATTAATTGTTACGTTTTTTTAAACTTGACCTTTATTAGTTGTTTATTTACCAGTGGTCTGACTCAATCTTTATACTACTTTCTTAGTTGATAGGAATTAAAGTCTGTCAATCAGTTTTGACATAGCAATAAAGGATTGGCGTATGGTATCTTACCGATCCAGCTCTTACTAATCAACAGCAGCTTAGACCCCTATAAACTTTAAATTAATTTACTTATTTCTCTTTCTTAAAACTTGCTTTTAGTTATGATCTACTATTATGTTTTCAAAAAAATTTGTTTTCATTGAACTGTGCTAATATTTAACTATGAATGTTTATATTACCTGTGTTTTGTCCTTCGTTCCTTGTTAAAATTTTAGTATTATTCGAGCGGCCGTCTCTTGTAATACCAAGCTTTCAACTTTTCTTATAGTTGTTTTGATATTTTTTTTACTATTCATCTATTGCGTCGAAAAAACATGTCTGTGTCCTCATCGTTCTGTGTTATTATTGCTGTCTCACTCTTGTTTATTATTCTGTTGTATGTGTTCCATCCTTTCTTTTTCGTTTTGTGGAATATGAACCAACATTTTCTTTCGGGCATCTTGCTTAATCTATTCTTTATTCGTTCTAATCTTTTTGGTTGGCTGATGTCTCCCTGACTTACTTTTCTTCTTCTCTGCGGTTTGTTAATTGGGGTTCCTGGTCCCACAATGGCAGTGTTGACACCTTAGACGGGTCAACTCTTTCTTCTTCCGTCTCTTCTTTTTCTTTTGGATTCTCCTATTTCTTCTTCCTCCTCCGTGGAATAATCACTTGTTTTATTCTCGTAAAATTTCTTTAACCTATTTACGTACACTACCTGTCTATTTTTTTCCCTTATTTCGTGCCCCTGGCAGTCGTCGCATCTCTTCACATTTCACATATTTCCCAACATTTCTTCCTAATTCGCTCCAGAAATAATATTCTCTTATATTTCTGTACTATATTGAGTGCTATGCCCCTGGCAGTCGTCGCATCTCTTCACATTTCACATATGTCCCAACATTTCTTCCTAATTCGTTCCAGAAATAATATTCTCTTATATTTCTGTACTGTATATCCTATTTATTCTTCCATATCCTTCCTGTAACATGTGGAAGGTAATAATTATAACTCTTCTTTTCCTTGACTTTTCCGTTTACTTCATTAACGAAAATCACAATTCCAGATTAGTTTCGCATTTTTATTACATCCTGTAGATACTGTATTGTCGTGCTGGAGCCGCGGGACTCTTAGCGGGTTGGGATTCTAGTACCACCCTAGCTTATCCCTTAGCAGCCTCCTACTTGACGTAAGTTTCACCCTTAAGGTCGAACCATATACAGCTTGCCCACATTCCTGTAAAAAAATATACTTCTGGCACTGTATTCATCTTCGCATGCTGTGTGAGATATGCCTCTATTTCTGTGGCATCCCACCTGTGTCCACTAATTATTCCTTCTTCTTTACGGATCTACTTCTTTGTCTCAAGCAGAGAAACTGCTTAAACTCTTCTACATTCAGAGTACGTTCCATAAATACATAAATAAAGTTCCATAATGTTACTTTAACGATAGTAACTAACTATGAATTTTCCGTCTCCAGCGAGTCCTTGCCTTAGCAACGATTCAGTGCTTCAGTGAAGGCCCTTAGGTCTTCCTGTCCAATTTGCATTTTTCCCTGGTACATAAACTGTAGCAAGCCTCCTAGTGTCTCGCAATTTACGTTTGTCAAAATCACTATAGGACGTTGACAACGATTAGACTCAAATTTTCTTTAAATATGGGCCACAGCCCAAAGAACCACTTTACGTGCTTCTATGCATTTTCCATGCGATGCAAGCTCTACGCCTACTAAATCTTGACTGTTCCATAATGGATCCATTCCCGAACTCATATGTTCGTGGAAATTATTCCAAAATAGTGAAAAAAAAAATTCTGACGCCACATCCCATTTAAATTTTCTTTAAATATGGGCCAAAGCCCAAAGAACCACTTTACGTGCTTCTATGCATTTTCCTTGCGATGCAAGCTCCACGTCTACTAAATCTTGATTGTTCCATAATGGATCCATTCCCGAACTCATATGTTCGTAGAAATCATTCCAAAATAGTGAAAAAGATTTTCTGACGCTACATCTCATTTAAATTTTCTTTAAATGTGGGCCAAAGCCCAAAGAATCACTTTACGTGCTTCTATGCATTTTCCTTGCGATGCATTCATTTCCGAACTCGTATGTTCGTGGAAATCATTCCAAAATATTGAAAAAGATTTTCTGACGCCACGGTCAATTATCTTCCAAAGCTCCATTAAATTCTTTTCCCTCTTTTATATGTCCATCTCAGTATGATGTGCCAATTTATGAAATTAACCAACAATTGTATAAAGAATTAAATTTTTGTTAAATAAAAGAACTTAGAAATATATGCTGCCGAAGTTAAAACAAATCTGTATAAAATATTAAATAATCAAATCAAATAATAATCGATCAATCAATCAATACTCACATATCAACTTAGGTGTTAGTTTTTATTTTTTTTTTTTTGAAAAATTAAACTCTATTAAATTCTTTTCCTTTTTACAAATCAAACGCTATTTTTTTCAATTCCAAATATCCCATAATTAATTAGTTAAACAAAGTCATATCTAATTTCTTAGTGTATATCACAAGAATTCGCTAGCCCCACGATTTACGTCGTAATTCTTTACTTTGCGACGCTTCTTTTTAAGGTCAACCTAAATATTTTTCAAACACAAATCATATTTCACTTTCACTTGTTACATTAAACAAAGAATTTGATAATATGTAAACAGTTAGTAAAATAATACCCAAAGAATTTATATTTTGCGCTTTTTGAAAGCAATAAACTCGTACACTCAAATGAACTTGATCTTGACCTAATTATTGAAATTCTTTATATTCACTACTAAATAAACAATAATGCTTATTTCTTTAAATAATTATTATATTCTATTCCTATATTCGACTGATAATTAATAATTTCCTAAATTCGACTGATAATTTACGAAGTTAAAAACAATTATATTGAGAACATCATATAATGTGTTAGTATGTATTTTTGAAAAAATTTGTACTTGTCATCTCTTCACATATATCATAAAAGCAATTCACCTATCTTAATATTTAGGATTCTAGGTTTCTAGGAAGGGATCGATATGAGGCCATTCTCCAGTGATACAAGACAAAAAAAAATCTACTATATACGAATAATTTGTGTAAAACTCCTAACAAGTTTATATAACAAAGAGAGAAAAAGGATTTTCTTCCAGAAAAGGGAGTCCTGCACTCCACACAATATTTACTGGATAGCTCACTGTTTCTTTAATCTGTTGTCGTCTTAGGAAAGAGAAGAAAAAAAAATTGGAATGTCACTGGCGAAATGAAACGATGAAGGCTTCTTATAGCTACAAAACTTGCAAAAGTTTACAAGGATACTGAAGAAGTGACTTAATTATCCCTATTTACCGAAATTCCCCCAAACCGGGACCGCTGTCACCAATGTAAAAGAATACATTGGGACAGATTTACGAGAAGTGGAGAGGGATTAAGGGGATTAAGGACTTCTATGTAAAGAGTCCTGTAAAGAATGGAGTTATGCGGCTTACTTTTGAAGCCGGAGATATGTATACGCAGAATCTCGTGTTCTCCTAGTCTCTAGTGAGTCGGACGAAAGGAACATTAAAAAAAAACCAAATTAGAGTCAACAATATATTGAATCTACCCTGAAGTTCCTAATACAATCGTTAACACGTTATTCTGCGCGTCGGGAGACGATGTAGCAAGATAGTGAAGAGTTGACAGTTGTACTAATATAATTACACAGGTTAGTATAAAGAAATCTGTTACCTTATGTGTATATTAGGGCTTCAACCACGACACGTTCAGTCTTCTGGAACTCGGTCAGTTGAGGGTTGCGAACTTTCGAGCTGCCACAATAACCGGACTACACGCGAATTCTGCCAGAAGATACCCGGCCCCCGGAAAATCACCGACTGTCCCGCGTACTGGACGCTATCGCGTCCGGCGATCACTGCCCTGGGCGGGCAGCTACGGCGCCCCCGTTATCACTACTGATTGACTGACTACTAACTACCCGGCGTCCGTCGTTTCTTCTTGTTTTATTGTGGTCGTACTTTCAACGCCGGTTCTAGTACCAAGGTCGTAGTTTCGCTGAGTTGCAGTTTTGGCGTTATGCGCCTATTTGGGTCACGGCTGTTGTTGTTAATAGTTTCGTGCTTTTTATACGTTTAAACAATTATCAAACAATGCCATAACTAGGTCAATTGTTATACTTTGTATAATTTAAATGTATAAGTTAACTGTATTAATTATCCCTTATTTAATTTGGAATATATAATAATTATCTCGAATAATTATTATCTTTTCTATGCTACTTATTGTTCCATTATCCCTTTATTCCAACTTCTCACTCACTTGCTACGCTTACATTACATTTTCTGCTTCTGGAGGGTTATGTTAAGTCCTAGCTATCCGGATAGATTGCAGACTCTAGCTATTAACCCGTTAATGACCATATTATACAAGTGAGGAAATAAGACTCTCTTAAGAAGAATGTCTAGCTATGACACTGTATCCTCCCGTAAAGTTGAGTATATTGCATTGCTCCAAAATACTAGTTACATCAATATTTTTTTATGCTTCTAATTTCAGATACTTTTAACAAATTATTATTTTCAGGTTGGGATTAGAAGGCTTTTAAATGATTACACATATTACGCTTGTTTTCCTTTACACGAAGGCAGATGGAATAAAGATACCAGTGATGGGAAAATTCTAGACCGAAGGGTAAGTATTTTGATGTATGAACTATCACATGTACTTGTTTGTGAGGTTTTTTGATCAACTAAAGTTTAATTTATGTTATATATCTTACCTAAAAGATATTTATTTTTTATATACGCGTTATATGTCCCAGGTATTCCGGTTTGCAACATTCTATGGTAATGATTAGTGCACGCTCTTTACTCATTCTATGTAGAACATTTTAGTTGGTAATTTTGACTATCCAGGAGATCCCCAACATGCGTCTATAGCACCTCGTTTTAAACGCTTTGAATCTTTTCAGTTATACTTCAGTTAAGGTCCATAGCTCCACCGCATATAGAAGAACGGATGATACGTACCATTTTAGTAAACGAACTTTTATTTCCAATTTTATATCGTGACTATTGAAGATTTTCTTCATTTTGACGAAAGCCGATTTTGCCTTTTCGATCTTTATCATAATTTTTGTCGAGTGTTCCTACTGTTCATGTTCGTTCAAATTTACAACTAAAAAGCAAAAGTTTGTGTTACAGCTATAGGTTCACTAATAATGGTTCCAGTGTTATCCTATTTTTGCTTATAACCATGTATTTCGTTTTTTGATGTTAAAATCAAGCGCAAAAATGGTACTTACTTCTGCTACCCTGTAGACAAGCGTCTGCGGACCTGCATACTTTCCAGACTGTGCAAAAATGACAGTATCATCAGCGTATTTTATGTTGATCAGTTGTTCTTCATTTATAAGTATTCTCTGATCTATATCAGTTACCGCACGGTTCACATTGTGCTCTGAATATATATATCAATTAATAATGGGGACAGTATACATTCCTGTCACATACTTTTTTATGTTTATCTCGTCTGTTTAATGATGTCCAACTCTATTAGCTGTAGTTGGTTTGTAATAGATATTGTTTATTAATAGACTAAGTGAATTTAATATTTCCATCAGTTTCTCATGATTTATTCTATCAAACGCTTTGTGATAATCGACAAAACACACATATATGTCACAATTCATATTTCTACATCGTTTATCGTTTAATAAAAAAACGTGTATTGCAAAAAGTGCCTTTCGAGTACACACTGCATCCCGAAGTCGAATTATATGTTTACCATGTGCTCTTCACACTTTTTATATATTCTTTTATGCATAATTTTTAAAAAAGTTTTCAGGAGATGGTCCATAAGTAGACTTCGGCAAATATGCAAATAAAAATGTAGAAAATATGCGCATAAATATGCACGTGTTTACCCGAAAATATGCAAATATTTTACAAAATATGCATACAAATAAATAAAAAAATCGTAAAATAGTAACAATTTTATTTAAAAAAAAAGTGTACATAACTTAATATTTTCTACTATTCATAAAGATTTACATTTATTTTAAGTAACTACATCATTTTTAAGTATGAATAAACTTATTTAGAATTATGGTAACAATAAATGACCAAGTGGTGTTCAAAATTTTCTAACAAAAACTTGTGGCTTCTGTCTGAGTACATATATTTATATATGGAAAAACTTCGTTCAACATCAACTGATGTAACGGGAGCATTTTTCAAACCAACCAAAACATTTGGTTCTAAATTAATTGTTTTCGAAATATTTCCAGCTAGAACACTGACTACTTCAGAAAGAATATGGTAACCTTTATTTTTTTCCATAGTAGCTTCAAATTTTTTTAAAATATCTTTTCCAATATTACCTCTAACGTTCCGACAACATGACGCAAATTCTTTTATTAATGCTGTACTTTCGAACAATGGCAGTTTTGGTGATTCTAACTGAGTAATTGTTTTTTGAACAAAACTAAAATTTGATTTTATAAATGAAAGTTCTTGATGAAGCAAGGTACTCTGAAAAGTTTGTTTAGAATCCAAAAGAGATTGGAAACTTTCATCTGTTAACGTATCAATTATGTTCTTTATTTTAACAAAATGATCTGCATAAAAATTAGCTGCTTCTAACCATGTTCCCCATCGCGTTAAAATAGGTTGTGGTGGAAGAGGAATGTTAGGTAGCATTTCTTTATAAAGTTGAATTCTTAGGAGATTTAAGAAATACTTTTTTGACACTGGATATCATGGTATTTACAAGAGGAAACTTTTTTCGTATTTCCTCTGCAACTCTGTTTAATCCATGCGCTAGACAAGTAACATGTATTAAATCTGGAAAAAATATTTTTAAATTTTGTCCTGCTTTCACCATATAAGGAGCAGCATCCGATAAAATAAGCAGTAATTTATTAGAAGGAATAGTTGTCGGTAGAAAAAAAGTTGCTAATGTTTCTTGTATAAAACGCGAAATTGTTAAAGCATTTGTTTTCTCAAGTTGCTGGCATGAAATAAGATGAGATTTTGGTAAGGTATCTTCTTTAAGAACACCAATCAATAAATGAGCAATATACTTTCCTGAGGAATCAGTGGTTTCGTCTACAGATATGTAAAAATAATTATCTGCAATTTCTTCCTTAATATTAATTAACACCGACGAGTATAGCCCGTTCACATTATTTCTTCTTAGAGACCGATCACTTGGAACATTAAGTTTGCAATATTTTTTTAGAAACGAACTAAAATTTACATTTGCTAATTTTGAAAGCGGTATGTTTGCAGACACTAATGCGCGACACAAGTCTTCATTAAAAGTTTCTTGCTCATCTAATTTTTTTGAAGTAGATTGGAAACATTTAGCCATTGAAGTTTGATGTTTTCCTCCTATTTTTCCTTTTTTTGCAATGTGTGAAGCAGTTCTCACATGTTGGTCTATCTGAAATTTCTTCTCACATGCTATCTATAAATAAAAATAAAAACCTTTATTTTAACCCAACCTTTAAAATATAAAAATATACAAGGTGTTTTTGGTTAATCAAATAACTGGTTTGGAAAAAAAACACTCGCTAAATGTTTTAAATGCAGTATTAATCCACAAATTAGTTTTTGTTACTAACCATTAGTACATCATATAACTTATTTTAAAATTCAATAAAAGTTTTTTTTTTGTTAATTCAATTACAATAAAAATAATTGTGTTTTAGAATAGCTGACTTCATAAAAAAAAGTAAAGGTGAAAAATTTTTCTAAATACACACCATTGTATTGTACCATGGACAATTTTTTCTCACTAAAGGAAGCTATTTTTCATTTAAAAACAACCTACGAGTACTAAATTTCAAGTAAATACGTTTATTGGTTTTAAAGTTATTGTTGTTATTAACTAAAAGAATTTAATTTTTTTTAATTTTAACACCCGGTATCTCGAAAAGTAAATAAGTTTGACCCCTCATTAACTATATCGTTTTGTTCAATTTTTCTAGAAGTATCTACAGTCAAACGTTGTAAGTGTCATTTGGAAACACCCTGTATATATATGAAATATTAGATATTTAATAGAAACTATTAGAACCTTACAATTTTGTCACAGACTGAACAGTAGATTTTTCCCATATCCATAGACAGCTCTTTATAAGGTTTAATCCAAGTTGAAGCACTGGTTGTTTTAGGCATTATAAAATCACAATCTTCCTTTTTGTTACGCACAACGAGTGTTTACGCTTTGAATATCAAAACAAAAATGATTTACAAATCTAAGCATCAAATTAGAAACGTTAAGGTACCTAATTCAATAAACTGGGAGATTTTGGAAAATCCCTAAATTAGGAACAAAACTATTAGCCGTTTACCTGCTGTTAAGATACAATAAATTGTAGATAGATTTGGGGATTAGATCATAAAATGCAAATGAGCGAACCCTTAGCGATTATCCAATAAGTGAATGCCTCAGTGACCGAGACTTTCTAAGTATGTTGAGGGCTACTTAAATTGATCTTCTTTGAAATTGTAAATGTTTTGTACCTGTAGAGATTACGTACTTAGATCATTTCTTGATTAAAATGACTACACAATTTTATACAAGAATTGAAATAAATTGGTATGTTTAAAAATTTTCAAATACAGTATAAAAATCTGAACTTTTATGCACTTTATGCAAACTTTTATACAAATATGCCAAAATATGAAATATTTGCATAAAATATGCACAATATGCAAAATATGCAATATGCATATTTGCCGAAGTCTATCCATAAGGCTTATTTTTCGATAGTCCTAACATTTCTTTGCATTGGGTTTTTAGTATTGTTATAAAAGTTGATCTAAGCCACAGTTGGGGTATTTTTTCGCTTTGGTATATATTGTGAAGATTAATATAAGTCTTTTGACCGCGTCTTTGTCCATAATTTTTAAAGATTCTGCGTAGAAATCGTCTAGCTCTGCGGATTTTTCCTCGTTAATGCTGCTTATAGTAGCTTCTACTTCCTCTTCGAGAATAGGTGGTCCAGTATCGTCGTTTTTTCTATGTGATAGTCACACTCTTTTTGTCTTTAAATGTTGTTATCACAGTCCATCCATGTTGTTAATATTAACTGTTTGATTTCCTTTATCGTCTGTTAAGTGTACCCGCTTTTTTATTTGTAGAGACCCACAGCTTCCTTGATCCTTTTTTGGAGGTTTAAATAATCGTGGTCACGTTCTAGTATCTCGAGTTCTTTACACTGTTCTTCCAGAATTCGATTTTTAGTTTCACTAGCAGCTTTTCTTATCTCTTTGTGTCGACGCTGATATGTGGCGTAATCTTTACCCTTGGATTCTCTTCTATCCATCATCTGTAATATACTGTCAGTCATTTTCGGTCGCAGATATCGGTTTGAAGCTATTTTCTTGTGGTATCTTAAAGTAATTACTACTTTAATGGGAATAAGACACCAATTGAAGTTTAAAATAAGTTTATTAACGTTTAAATTTCCGAAGTAGAAAAACTATGAAAAAAACACCATAAACTGTGAAAAAATTTTATGTCTACAAAAATTTCCTATTTTAGATCACATTTTTTGAAGTAACCAGATATCTTACAACTAGCTAGAGAAATCTAGAAAACTAGCTTGTAGAATTTGTTCTTAAACAGTTTTTGGTCCCTTGAATATTGTATAAAAATACTCTGCCCACCAATTTCTGCTACATTTTCATAAAACAAAAAGGTCTTTGAGGAAAGGTGTAAAGGAAGACAGTTAATTTTACAACCAGTGTTGGAATATAACAATTTTAATAAAATTGGGAACAAACAATTTGATTCTTTCGAAATACACATTACAGACTTACATTACTTGAGTGAACCATTATATTAAAAATGTATTTGTAATATCTACTTCCATTTTTGTTCTAGTTGCTGTACTTGGAATGGGCTAGACCGGCCAAATGGATGAAAAGACAACCACTTAATCTAGTACGAAAATATTTTGGAGATAAAATAGGTTTATATTTTTGTTGGTTAGGTTATTATACAAAAATGCTCTACGCCCCAGCTGTAGTGGGAACTATATGTTTTTTGTATGGGATTTTTACTATTGATAGTAATGACAATATTGCTACGTAAGTTTTTACATTTTAAGAATGTTTTTATTTTATTTCTAATACATAAACAAAATCATCTTTAACAAGTTTTTATGGATTTTTGGAAGGACAACTTTGTTATCGCGAGCTACCTACGGATATTAACCCTGTCATGGGCGTGAGCAAATTAAATAGTTTTAAACAATTTTCTTTGACCGGTAAACAATTATATAATTACCCCTAATGATTCATACTGTCAAAAATTTTTTTGCCTCTCCCTATTTTATTAGGGTGGTGGGAATAATACTTCCCAGTGTCCATACGCGAAAAATGTAAATTAAAAAAAAAGAACATTTCAAACTAATTTTACTGTAATTAGAACTTGTAGAGGGTTAAAAGGGTTAAAATCAATCATAGACGACACAGTCATACGACAAAAGACAAATATGATTGTACAAGATGTAAGAGTACCGAGAGGAGCTACCTGTGGAAGCGATCATCACTTATTAAAAGCTCTTTGGAGTAAATAAACCTATAGAAGAAAAAGAAGGAAATGAAAGGGAGAAAGTAATACAGAAGAGGTATAACCTAATCAGCTTAAAACAAGAAAGCGTGAGAGAATTATACAGAAATAGATTAAATCAAAAGTTGGAAAATAAACAATTTAATAATAATGAAGATACATTACACTCACATAAAAAGGTGTCTCTAGGAGGCAGCAACAGAAGCCATTGGATACCAAATACAGAATCAAAGAAAACTTCCATATTGGTTTGACGGAGACATAGAAAAAGAAATTCTTAAAAAATTCTTAAGTACAAAAAATATAACGGATAAAGTAATCTACAAGTAGTCTTAACCTAAAGTACGAAAAATGATATGTCGAAAGAAAAATGAAGCATGGCAACAAAAGTGTAACATGATAAATTCACATCCAGGAGGACAAACAAACACAGAAAGTTAAAGAGTCTAAAAATCTGTAGAAGAGAAGAAGGGGGACATACTGTCTCTCTTCTTCTAGTGAAACAATAACAATGGATGACTGGGACCAATATTTTGAGAAACTCCTGAGGGAAGATAGACCACAATTTAAAAACAGCAACGAAACACAAAATAAAAATATTTTAACTTCGCCCATACGAATAACAACGAAAGAAGTGGAAGATGTATGTAGATCTCTAAAAAAACAACAAAGCACCGGGTCCAGGTAACATCCCTGCAGAGTTAATTAAACACGGTACAACCAAACTATATACAAGTTTAGTAAAACTGTTCCAAAACTGCATTAATGAAATGACAACCGCAGAGGAGTGGAACACATCATTCATATCCACTATACACAAAAAAGCAGAAGAGATGCATGCTACAATTACAGAGGAACAATTACAGATCGTGACAAACTCGGTCAGTAGAATATACGGAAAAGTAATTAAAAACAATAGAAAGCAAATACAAAGACTTAGAGGCTCAGGAATAGGCAGAATTTAGGGCAGGTAGATCTATTGTTGACCATTTGTTTTGCATTACACAGATTATTGAAAAGAAAATAGCCGTTAATCAAGAAGTACATTTATTGTATGTAGACCTACAAAAGGCTTATGATAGCGTACCACATTATAAATTATGGGAAGCGTTAGAGAAAACAAACATAAGCATGAATTTATTAAATGCGACGAAGGAACTGAACGCTAATGCTAACTCAAAGGAAAAAATTGGAAATAATCTGTCAAGTGGATTCCTAATGAATAAAGACTTTAAGCAGGGCTGTTGTCTCTCCCCGACATTATTTAAAATTTATCTAAAACAGTCTCTAAAACTGTGGAAGCGCAAATGTAGAAATATGGGAATGCCGATTAACAACAATAACATATAGACTTTGTAATTTGCAGATGATCAACTAGTGATAGCAAAAGATCATGAAGATATTAAGTATATGACTCGAAAATTAATCTAAAAGTATAAAAAATGGGAACTTGAAATCAACATCCAAAAAACCGAGTATATGTGTATAGGCGGGAAACAACAGGACCTCATATTGGAATATGGAAAAGTTATCAAACATTGCAACATATATAAATATTTAGGTACGATCATCAAAAAAGAAGACAACGTAGACGACACAATTGAGGAAAAAACAACCAAGCAAGAAAAGCAATTTCCCTTCTCAACCTTCATCTGCTTCTTCTTCTGAATGTTCATCATTGTCAGGTTACGAAGATAAATAAGCTAATGCAGCTTCAGCATCTTTGGGGTTATCTAGATACCAAATTTATAATCAAATAATAAAAATGAACAACGAGGATGGGTGGTGGGAAGCATATAACCCACTTACAAATATGGATTTAGCTTACGTCAAATACGTTCTATTATCATTGTTTCTATATGAATGTCTGTATAAAAGTCAAAAGAATAGAAAAATAATATTGAAGTCCTTAGCACTCACCTTTACTTTCGTGTAAACAATTATTTATTCACAACTAGAATATAACTGCACAAAAAACCGTCAAAATAGCGTATATTCAAATATAAGTATGAATGGTAATGTAAATATCTATACCTCAGCTTCAAAGTAATTTTTTATAGGTTTACTGATATCACTACTAGGTGGCAGCAGCCTCAAATGGTGGAAAAATCGATGTGCACTGCCTGTAGACGTGATATTATATCGTGGGAATTATACTTCCCACTACCTATGAAAGGGTGAAACGCTAGCTAATTGACATGAGCCTCAATCATCAAGTACCTCAGTATTTTTTGATCTATTTATACTCTTTTGAACAAATTAACTTACAAAAGACGTGGAAATTATCTTAAATTCTAAAATAATAAAATAACTATTAACACAAAGAGTAATTTGTCCTGAAATATTATTTTGTATGGGATTAAACCACACTTGATTGTAATGTTATTGTAATTTTGACGTCTCGAACTGTTTCAGCAGCTTTTTAATTGAAACTTTTCGGTTTGTTTTAAGGCACAAGATATGAGATGTATAGAAAAGAATTTACATCGAATGATTCGAATGCTTTGGGCGTATTTACTAATTTTTATCTTTTTTCAGAAAAGAAATTTGTGATAGAAATGGTCCGGGAAATATAACATTATGTCCAATGTGTGATAAAGCATGCGACTACCAGAAATTATTCGAAAGTTGTAAATTTGCTAGGTTAACGTATTTATTCGACAACCCTGCTACAGTCTTTTTCGCCATTTTTATGAGTCTGTGGGGTAAGAAAATAATTTTAATGATTACTACTACAACTAAGAGGCAATAACACGTATCATTATTTTCTAAAGTTTACAAGAAACAAGAAAAACTGCTGTTCTATTAGTTTTAAGAAAATACTTTTTTCTCTAGGAGTACAGAAATTGAAATTTTTTTGTTTAATTATAAGGCCTCGATTACAAAAATGATTGACAAAGATAATAAACATTAAACAAAAAAGTAATATAAATAACTGCATAGTTTACTTTAAAGTTAATAACTATGTACATTTTATTAAATATATATTTTAAAGGGCCTTGTAGATGTTTTAATATTGATTGATGAATTTAGATATCAATCCATGTTTTTTACGCTGGTAGAGGATGATTTTTAAAAGACACTATTGGGACTATGCGTGAAGGGAGTGTCGAATTGATATTAATTAAAAACCGGCCACCAGATACCATTGCGAAAGAATGATAAAACCTGTATCGTAGTACTTCACTATGCTTCATCTACTTTCTTATCCGCTTTCCAATATATTTACTATATTCTGCGCTATTATCAACTACACAATGTTTGCTGCGTTCTAGCGGTCTATGTCCAGTCTTTTTATTATGGTAGCGATCATATCATTTATAATAATCTAATATTTTTCGCCTCTCGCAGCCCTAGCATATTAATGGGATCTTTAATATCTTCATTTTATTCTTGACGATGCACCCATACAGGTCAGTCTCCTCATTGTCAGTTATTTTTAGTCAAAAGCTAAAACAACATATCTGATGTCAAGCAAGCAAGGCAATTTAATTAAACCCGCCTGTGAGACATGTTCACCCCTTAGAAATTACGTTCGGGTGTAACAACTTATTTGAGCGAGGTGTATTAACGCGAGTAAAACAGGAGTTACTCCACCTCGCTCAAATGCTCCAGACCATCCCTTTTCCCCCTATAGCACTCTGATGCACAGATATCAGCCTATAGGGTACAACTATCAGCCAAATGCTCTTCATGTGAAAGTCTTGATCCACGATTCAAATTCAGGACAGCATGACGGGCTTTATTCCTGATCCTCTAGTGACTTGTCTGCGAATCTAAAATTGCTTGCTTGGGCCCCAAGCCTCCGCTCCGGACGACGCGACGCCCGGTTTGGAGACTTGGTGTCTGGTTTCTGTTTTTTGTTTATTTTTTGTTGGCTTTCTCCGGATTTTTTAGTGTTTTTATGTTTTTTATTAGTTTTTTTTTGTAGGATATCTATAAAGAAGGTCCTGTTATGGTTTCGTTGGTCCTTATCCCTTAGGGCCCACACAGTGCGGCTATTTGCAGTGTCTGTCGACTATTGGAAGCTACGAACTATCCTCTGTTGGCTTGTTTATTTTTCTCTCTGGGTTTTTTGTCTTCTCTCTGGTGATTTTGTTTATTTCCTTATTTGATTTTCTTTGTAGTATTTATTTTATTTTAGATCACTTCTTCTTTAAGTTCCGCTCCTCTCGGAGATTGGAAATCATTCTGGCAATTATAATTTTGAATTGAAAAAGACTGTAAGACTTGTACACACTTCTAAATAGGTCTAACTGGTAAGCAGGTTTTGAATGTTTTCAATAAAATTGATAGTGTGTAAAATAATTTATTAATTAAGCTGAGTATACTTTCGACATAATAAATATCATCAGAGCTATCCTAAAATAACGTTAAGTTAAGTAAATTTTTTATATAAAATACAATGACAGAAAAAACTTACGTCAATTAGGCAATAAATACTTCATAGAAGGAAAATTGTGGACAGACGACATATTAAAAAACAAAGATCGGGCTCTGTAGGCCACAGATCTTGGGTCTAACCCTTATACATATGTATAATTCACATCAAAATTTTTTTCATAAAACATGGTTACCACCCTGGTTACCACATACAGTAACGACAGCAGCTGTTTTTGACTTACATTTTTGTATCTGAATGTGAAATATGAAATAAATCCGAGAGCGACCTCTGTATTTAAATTATTAATTAAAAATTGAAAATGTCTAAACTGACGTCTGAAGGTTATTGATTATTACTTTTAGTTACTATATAATTTTAAATTTAAATATTTTAAATTGATAAGTTAACGTGAAGATTTAAAATATACATTTATCAATATTATCAAAAAACAAAACTTTAAAGTTTGACCAAGTAGAAGAAAGTAGATGAAAACCAACCAAGGAGAAGTATCATTTGCTAAGTTAAGAGTTCAATAGCTATTATTGATTATCAATATTATTAATAAAATAAATATTGAAGAAGAAAAATATCAAACATTCTCTATTTAGATGAAATCAATCAAAGAAAATTTAAGAAATTCTCTCTTTTAAAAATAAAGGTCAAAGCTTGATCAAATGATGGTTAATTTTATACTACATGTATTATTAAAGAAACTTCTTAAGATAGGATCAAACTTACAATTTAAGTTAATTTGAGTGTTGACACAGTTCTGAGGATTCCTTTTCATTTCTCTACTGATTTCAAGATCTTCTAGTAAATTCATTTTTATATAATTATTATTGGGTATACTGTGTAGGATCTTGTTATCTCTATGAGGACTAAAGCCATGCTTTGAAGCATGTATATGATTCCCAAAACTAGATTTATTAATCTTAGACAGATGTTCTTTAATGCGTATATCCAAAGGTCGCATTGTTCTACCCACATAGGTCACCGGGCATTCACCACAGGATAATTTATAAATACCACTTTTTGACGATTTGTTGATTTTGTCTTTAGTGTGGGAAAAAATAGATTTGATATTTTCTTTAACTTTGAAAGAAAGTTTTAGATTAGGGATGTTTTTTAAGATTCTGGCTATATTATCTGAGGGATAACCTATGTACGATATTGATCGATAAATAACTGTCGAGTTAGAAATGTTATGGACAGTGTTGTATGCTAGTGATCTATTCCTTTTATTCCTTAATTTGTTGAGTATGTTATCAACCAAAGTAGGGGTATAACCGTTACTATAAGCAAGTTGTTTAATAATTTCTAATTCTGATTTAAAATTTGAATCTGACAGAGGTAAGCTAAGTAAACGATGGATATAGCAATAAAAGGAGGCCATTTTCTGTTGAAAAGGATGATTAGAAGATCTAGGGATGGTATGGTCAGTCTGAGTTGGTTTTCTAAAGACTGAAAAATTTAATTTGTTATCTATTCTAGTTAATGTTAAGTCTAGAAAATTAATAGAATTGTTGGATTCTGTTTCTAAAGTGAATTTTATAGCTGGATGTAAGTTGTTAAGTGAAAATAGGATATTGTCTGCATCTGAGGAATTTCCATCTATGATAGCTAACATATCATCCACATATCTGAACCAATATAAAACTTTTTGAAAAGAGTTTTGATTCAGAGAAATATTGTCAAAGATATTAATCTCCAGGTTATTCAGAAATAGATCTGCTAGCAAAGGTGATAAGGGATTGCCCATTGCCAATCCTTGTGCCTGTTTATAAATAATATTGTTGAAAGAAAAGAAATCTTGTGAAAGACAAAATTTAAGTAAACCCAATATGTGAAAAATTGTATCTCTATTAATGTTGTTTTTAATAAGTAATTTCTCAACTATGGAAATGGTTTCATCTCTAGGTACATTTGTAAACAAATTACTTACATCAAAGGAAACTAGAAAGAAGACTCTAGGTCAATTTAAAACTGACAATTTATTTACTAAGTCTGTAGAGTTTTTGACAGAAAAAGTGGGTTGAACAGATATTGAGGATTGTAATATAGAATTGATGAATTTGGACAATGTAACAACTGGTGTGTTATATAAACAAATTATAATTTTGTTGGTTACGCGCCTGAATAGTTCTATTGAACTGCATCCAAACCATTCAAAGATATTGAGTAGCCACGAGATTTTACGTCTTCCTACGCTTCTTTTGCCTTTGAATTTACCCTGCATTATATTCCTTAGTAGTTCGTATTTTTCTCCTCTCATAATGTGCCCCAATTATTCCAATTTCCTGATTTTTATGGAATTCGCATTGTTTTTCTAGTTGTTTGAGAACTTGTTCATTTGTTTTGCGATCCATCCATAATATTTTCAAAATACTTCGGTAACACCACATTTCGAATGCTTCTAGGTTTTTAATGTTGGATTTTTTAAGTATCCAAGCTTCAACCCCATACAAAAGAGCAGAGAAAATTTAACATCGAAGCATTCTTATCCAGAGCGATATATTGATATCGTGATTGTAAAAAAGTATTCTCATTCTATTAAAATTTACCGTGCAATTTCAATGCGGCATTTTATTTCTTTTGTCTGATCAGTATCTTCTGTGAGTCATGTTCCAAGGTATTTGTATGAAGATATTTGTTTAATTTCTGTCTTATCTAGTACTAGCTTAACTTTGATGTTTTGTGCTTTTGTAAATATCATGAACTCGGTTTCGCTCACTACTTTTTATTTTATTTGACTTCACTTTTATTTTGTTACTTTATTTATTCTGCTATTTGTTGTTTAAGTCTTTTGTGTCTTCGTCGCTTGAAAGCGTCGTATCTCATGATCTCTCGCAGTATGGGACTAGGGTGGCTTTCCAGTTCTGCGAATTTTGTCCTGGCTAAATCTCATGTCTACCTGACTGAGATGATTATATACCTCCCTGTGCTCACGGCCGACTAATCGGCACATCTAAAGATTATTGACGAGACCTTATTTCCAGTCAGAATTCTTTCGTTCATCATGGCTTATTTATTCATTACCCTTTCACCGACATGTTCAACCACTTCAGGTTTCTCTTCATCTCCCATTATTCTTCTTTTCCTCAATCATCAAATTTATCGGTGGCACTCCGGCCAGCACTGTCACCATATTAGTTGGCATAATACAGTAGCCATTCCAAACCTCGAGTAATGCCTTTTTTGATGATTTCTATAATGAACCTAATGACTTCTCTTATTTGAACGCATATTTCGCAATTTCAAAAACCTCCATCTATGCCTCTGGTCTATAGAGTATAGCATACACAACCGCTTATAGCAATTTTAAACTTAATTACTATTTAACTGGGAATAAGCCACAATTAAAGATAAAAATACGTTTATTGACGTTTCAATTTCCACTTCGGAAATCGTTCTCAAAATACAAACAGTAAATTAAACAAATTTTGTTTTCGTTACATAGTGAAAAATTCTTTTAATAATTTAATTTTTTCTGACTCATTTATATTGACAATTCAGACATACATTATGCATTTTAAAGTAGACGTCTTTAAAATGATATTGCCAATATTGTTGAGTTGCGCTCCTGGGACGACTTTACTTATAATATAGTTCATTCGATTACATGAAATCAACTTTAACTTGAGAATATCCTCCAGAAAAAATCATAGCATGTAATTCGTCTTTAAAAAGACAAACAAATGCCATGATGACAGTAAAATTCTCCTGTTAGTGATTCCATAGTAAATTATGAGGGAAAAACCAGGAAAAAAACCTCATAATACTATCCCGACATTGTAAGTATTTGTTCGTGAATTTAGTTTTAGTCCCATGCGTGTTTACATATTTGGGATAATGAACATAGGGTTCAATGGAATAATTCAAATGTAGTCCTAAAAGAAACGGATGGTAAAAAAAGAAAAATCAAAGAAGCGGCTCTAATTCTGCTAAATGAGGCCAATTGTGTCGCAAATTTCTCGGCAGAATGTAGTAGGATCTGGTTACCAATATTGAAAGAGGAAGTTATTAATAAGAAAATACCAGTATTAGTAAGTCAGTAACATATAGAGGATACATCATTTATGTTTTTTAAATAACGTAACATATAAAATCAGAATTTTAATGTTTGTTGAAGGTAAACTAAATTCACGAACAAATACTTACAATGTCGGGATAGTATTATGAGGTTTTTTTCCTGGTTTTTCCCTCATAATTTACTATGGAATCACTAACAGGAGAATTTTACTGTCATCATGTCATGTGTTTGTCTTTTTGTCAGACGAATTACATGCTATGATTTTTTCTGACGGATATTCTCAAGTTAAAGTTGATTTCATGTAATCGAATGAACTATCTTATAAGTAAAGTCGTCCCTGGAGCGCAACTCAACAATATTGGCAATATCATTTTAAAGACGTCTACTTTAAAATGCATAATGTATGTCTGAATTGTCAATATAAATGAGTCAGAAAAAATTAAATTATTAGAAGAATTTTTCACTATGTAACGAAAACAAAATTTGTTTAATTTACTGTTTGTATTTTGAGAACGATTTCCGAAGTGGAAATTGAAACGTCAATAAACGTATTTTTATCTTTAATTGTGGCTTATTCCCAGTTAAATAGTAATTAATTTACAATGCCACAAGAAAATAGCTTCAGAACAATTTTAAACTTGCTTTGAATTCACCAACATTGGCTGCTGTCAGTTTAATATTAGTTTTTTACTGCTTGTTATTGTTGTATCGATGTATTTTTTAATTTTAAATATACTCTTCTTCTTCGTTTTTTGTTGATTTCTATTGTCGCTCGATGATCATTTCCAATATTATGGTGATTTAGTATATAAGATGTATGCATATTTTCCTTTGTGGTTTGTGACTTTACTTTTACTTTACTATTACTTTTTATATAGCTACCGTATTTTTGGAAATGTGGAGAAGGAAACAAAGTGTCATACAATGGGAATGGGATCTTCAAGCAACTGATCAAGATGAAGAGCCCAGACCAGGTACTTTTATCTCTTGCATATTTAAACTAAGCTAAGTATAGTACAACTTATCCAGAAAAAAACATATTCAAAAATAGCCCGGAAATATATAATTATGGTACATAAACTATAGAGTTAGATTCTAAAATTAAAAGTTATGACAAGTATTTTTAAGTTGAACTATACTATAAATTTCTTACGTTGTCGTGAGATTCACTCACTATCTTAAATCTTGATTTACATTATTCGTAACATTTTTAGAATTTGAAACAAGTGTCAAAACATTTAGAACTAATCCAGTAACTAGAGATAAAGAGCCTTATTTGCCAACCTGGACGAGAGTCGGTAGATTGGCTATAACGGGCTCGGTGGTATTTTTTATGGTAAGTATATAGCGGAAGGGTTCATAAGTAGGTGACCCGATAAGTACTCAGCCACTATCTCAAGAGAAATCTAATACCGCGTAGATACCCGTAGATGGCTAATGTCAAAATTTCAGCTGAATCGGACTGGTAATTTTATTTTGACAGCGTGTGAAGGCGGTCGTATCCGCGGATTTTAGAAAAATGGAAAAAGATCAATATCGGTTGCTTCTCCTTCGATGGCAACCGTCAAAAATTGGTTTAAAGAGTTTCACGTGGCTGTATTGCGTTTTTTGATGAGCCACGACGCAGTGCCCCGAAATTGGCTACCACGTAGGATAACGTGACAAAAATCTACGATTTCGTATTGGCAGATCTTCGACTGATGATGTGCGAGATAGTTAAGACTATATGTTATATCCTACATGAAATTTTGAGCATGAGGAAGCGGTCCGCGTGATGGACACGCGGACGCGATGGCGTTTACGCACTGCGGACAACAAGAGTAATCGTGAAACCACTTCAGAACAGTGTTTGACTATATTTAAGAGTAATCCGAAGGATTTCCTAGGTAGTTTCGTAGCCGTTAAAGAGTCATGAATGTACTGGTATATCCCAGAGATCAGGAACAGTCGAAACATTGGATGGCATCCGGCGATGTGCTCCGAAAAAGGCGAGTACTCTTCTATCGGCTGGAAAGTTGATGGCCACGATTTTCTGGGACTCACTGGACTGGGATCACTCAAGGGGTGATCTACATCGACTATCTGGAGAAGGGCAAAACGATCAATACTACACTGAATTATTGCGCCGATTTGACAAAGAATTGCAGAAAAAACGACCTCATTTGGCGAAGAAAAAAGTACTCTTCCACCATGAAAACGCACCGGCTCATATCTCCGCCTTCGATATGGCTAAATTGGTTGAATTTTGCTACAAACTATTGCTTCATTCACCATATTCTCTAGATTTACCCCTGTGCGACTTTTTTTGTTTCCAATCTTGAAAAAGGGCACTCGTCGGGCAGAAATTTAAGTCGAATGAGGAAGTTATTGTCGCTACGAAAGCCTGCTTTGCAGACAGCGAGAAAACGTGTTTTTCAGACGGGTTAAAAAAGTTGGAGCCTCGCTGGGTTCTTGAGTTTATTATTTTAGTTTATTGATCTAAAAGAAGACTATGTTAAGAAATAAATCTTCACTTTTCGAAAATTTTCGTTTTTCTTTTGTAGGCTAAGCACTTATCAGACTGCCCTAGTACTTCTAGAAATCAAGTAATATTGATATTAAATGTCTCTAAAGCTACTGTAACTGCCGGTCTGTGCAACGGTAGTATACCGTTTAAAAAAATCTTCTGATTATTATTGTTTTATATTTTTTAGGTATGTGTTATATTATGTGCAGTATTAGGAACAATAATTTATAGACTGTCTTTAGTATCAGTAATTTATGGAAGTAAATCAGCCTTCTTACAAAAACATGCCAAAATCGTTACCTCTGTTTCTGCTGCCGTTATTAATTTAATAATTATTATGTTTTTAACTAAGGTAAGTGCTTTAAACGTATTCGCTTAAAGATTGTAAAAGACAATGACAGTTTAAATATTTTTGAATCTACATGAAATGAAATCAAAAGTATAAACCACAGGAGTTAAAAGAAAAAAGTATCAGAACACAAAAAAACATAAAAAAAATTGGAAGAAGCTAAATTCACATAAATCCATAAAGAAATAAATAAAGAATAGGAAGCCTGTAAGAAAATCGTATGGAAAGCCGCTAAAGAAACTCTAATTATAACTATATAAAACCGAGAAGTAATCAGAATTACTAGAAATATGAAAATTACAACGCATTACATGAAAAATGCAATAAAGATATACAACACGGAGGGTTGAATAGAAGAAGAAGAAGTGTATAGATGGCTAAAGAGGGAAAAGAAAATATGCACTCATGGACAAAAATATCAAATATTTTAGAATTTTCTAATTTTTATTTTTTCAAAATAAATTTTGGTCAATCAAGTCGTTTATTGTGACATAGAGTTTATTTTAACAATGTTTAATGAAGTTGTTATGCGAAGAAAATTGCGAAAAAATAAATGCTTAATATTGGGTAAAAAAAGTTATTTTACTTTACACTTAAATGCTAATTTAAATTACTTAAACTAACTACAAGAAGTGCATGATCAGTAATGAGTATTCTCCCCTCTAGCTCTTATTCCTGCTTGCATCCTTTTCGGTATGCTTGCAAGTAAATTTTGGACATATCCTTGGGAAATTGCATTTCATTTATTCTGTGCAGCAAGCCGAAGCTGCTGTATCGTATTTGGAATGGGATTTCTTTGTCGTATGCGTTTTAGGTGATCTCACATGTGCTCTATTACGGTGGCTAATCCAATCTTCGAATTTCAACCTCATCAAGATAATTACTGACTGACAGCGGCATATGGTCGAGCATTATCGTGCATTAACATGAATATTTCATATTCAATGTTACCAACATATGGCAAAACATGATCTTACAGGATGTTTTAAACGTAAGAGTCACCAGTCATCCATCCAATCACTTCCACAAGGGCGGTACGTACCTCCCAACTAATATCTTTCCAAAGAATTATGCCTCCATCTCCAAAACTAACGTCTGGGCGAGATTCAAGCTGGCGAATCATTATCCAACTCTTGGCAGACGTGGTTTTTTAAATCTTCGTCTAACTGTTTTTGAGCTTACATTAACTTGTCTAACATTTAATAGCTCTGAGGTGCATCGATGTCAATAAATGATTTAGTGTAGAAATAAGAACTAAAAAACGAATATCAAGTGAGGCTGTGCACCTTGGGCGTCCTTGAGTACGCCTTCGTACGAAACTTCCTGTTGCACGGGACCTTTTTAAAGTATTCGTAACTACGTACAAAATTACCATCTGTGCTACTTGGGCTAAAATAACCGAATTAGTATGATTTTTCCTTTACGTGAAGAATATTTTTTATGATAAAATGTACGAATGACACTAAACGCTGAATAAACGTCAAAACAAAAGGTCAAAAAATTTCAAATCAGCTGAGTATATCAGCCTATTGTATGAGTGTCATCAGTAATCTAAAATTGTTTTGAAATTACTGACTACAAAAGAAAATTGGAAAATTCCACAATATTCGATATTCGATAAAATGGTTCAATCAGTGTACCCTAGAATATATTATAACATTTTTCATTTTTTTTTGTTGACTTAAATAAATTTCGTACAAAGATATCTGTTTTTTTTTTCAGTTCTATCATAGGTTAGCTATATATTTAACTAATTTAGAGAGCCCTAGGACACAAACCGAATACGAAAACTCATATACTTTTAAGATATTCTTTTTTGAATTCATGAACTTTTATTCTTCTTTGATATACATCGCATTTTTTAAGGTAAGGATTTCTTCACTTTCAATTTTAAGCAATCAAGATATGGAGTATATATAATATCTCCGAATATATGTATTATTCAAAATTGTAAAATTGGTATTAAAGGTTAGTTAATGTTATTTTTTTACCTTTTTTTTCTTTTTTAAGTTTATTTTGGTGTTTTGGCTTCCACTTCGGAAATAGTTTTCGAAATATAGAATATTAATAAATTAAACAAATTTTCTCAGTTTCTCTAAAACGATCAGTTTTATTTAGGTCAAACGTCAAGGCCATTAAATGTTAGAATAAGTGAACATCAATCTTATATTAAAAATAGAGAATTTGATAGATCTCAAATATGTAAACACGCATGCAACAATGAACATAGGGTTCAATGGAATGATTCAAGTATAGTCCTGAAGGAAACGGATGGTAAAAAGAAACAAATCAAAGAAGCGGCTCTAATTATGCTAAATGAGACCAAGTGTGTCGCAAATTCTTCAGCAAAATGTAGTAGGATCTGGATACCCATATTAAATAGGAAGTTATTAAAATGAAAATACCAGTATTGGTAAGTCAATAACATATCGAGGATACATAATTTATGTTTTTTAAATAACAAACATATAAAATCAGAATTTGGTGTTTATTGAAAATAAACTAAATGTACGACCAAATACTTACCATGTCGGGATAGTATTATGAGGTTTTTTCCTGGTTTTTCTCTCATAATTTACTATGGAATCACTAACAGGAGAATTTTACTGTCATCATGGCATGTAAGTTTTTTTAAGGCGAATTACGTGCTATGATTTTTTCTGACGGATATTCTCAAGTTAATGTTGATTTCATGTAGTCGAATGAATTATTTTATAAGTAAAGTCGTCCCAGGAACGCAACTCAACAATATTGGTAATATCATTTTAAAGTCGTCTACTTTAAAATGTATAATGTATGTCTGAATTGTCAATATAAAAATGAGTCGGATAAAATTAAAGCATTAGAAGAAATAGTAACAAACAAACAAAATTTGTTTAATGTACTAATGGTTGCATTTTAATAACGATTTCCGAAATGGAAAATGAAACGTCAATAAACTTACTTTAACCTTTAATTGTGGCGTATTCCCATTTAAATAGTAATTACTTTAAAATGACACAAAAAATAGCTTCAAAACAATATTAAGAGAGTAATGTTATTTTTTAGGGTAGATTTTATGAATACCCTGGTGATACTGTAACTAGGCAATCTGTATTTTTAAGAGTTAAAGGCGATAT